TATTTTACCGATCTAGGTATCCCCCCTTTTCCAAATTTTAATATCGACTCAAAATAATTTAAAAAGACAAATTACAATAAAACGGTTTATTATCCAACTATCAGAAATTTCACAACATGCCAAGGAAGAGAGGAAGGAGCAATTAAATAATGAAAATTATAAAGGATTTTAAAAAATATATAAAAATGAGGAATATCGCACTTCTGACAATCGCTGAGTGTGTGTGGGTTAAATTTGGAGAATCCGTGCTTCTCACATGGACAACTGTATGTGGCCGGCTCACGCGTCGGAAAATCTTCCGATTTATTCGTATACGCACCAGACGGAAAAACAAAAAATATTGTGTATCCACAAGCACTCCAATAAATAAATAGAATTGAAACAACACTTTGAAATATTTTCCTGATGAAAACGAATAATAATAATAAGTTTCAATAAAAATGATAAAATGAAAATTTAATTTTATCATAACGAGTTTGCTTGAATTTCGTTTCTTCTGAGATCGCAGCAATGCGCGACGGGTAAGCTAGTATTAAAATAAACACCCAACATAAGATGCTTGATTATAGTACACTAGAAACAAAAACAGATCATGCAGCTTGTTTAAGAACTGATCAATTCTATAAACTTAAGTGTTTATATAATTAGTGGCTCTAGCATTATGAAATAATGCACCATTAGATTGGCATTGTTTAGATATTTTGATACATGTGTCATCTCTAATATCTAGAAAAGATTTAATTTCATGCATTTTAGTCTAAATTTGAAACATGATAAAACAACATTCTTCCAAAATTATCCAATAATCATCTCAACTTGAGAAATGCATTATCTATTTTCTCTAAGTAGTGCATCACTCACTAGTTACATCAAATATTCTACAGTCTTTAAATCTATCTAAAACTATGTACAGTATTATTAATGCCATTTATCATAACTGATTTCTATAAGCAGGTTGAAAGGTTGAATTGTAAGTAGATCAAATGTTATTTGCATATAAAATCTGTCAATTCTTAAATCAGAAAAGTTTTTGTCATACAACAATAATCCAAACTCCAAATCCATTTATTACCTAGTCCATACATCAACATTTTTGTTACATAATCATAATTTTATATATATTTAATTATCAATAGTATATTATGATGGAGACCATAAGCATCTAAAAGTTGTAGATAATTCAAGTATTATTTCTATTAAGTGTTAAAACTTTAAAATATTTGGAGTTTAGAATGTATCCATATATTACTATTTGAGATTTATTTTCAATCCAAAATAAAGTTTATTATAGTATATAAATATTGAAAACAGTAAAACAAAGCTATTAAAATTGTCTTACAGTCTGGAATGTCTTTGGATCTTCTGTAATAGAATGAACATAATTTTCATTTGCTTCTTCCTAAAATAATAAGTAATGATTTCAATTTGTAATGACTTTATAATTATCATATGCATTAGACCAAACACATTAGAAACAGAAATTTTAAATTTGAAAAAGTTCCAATGTAGAGATGTTTTCTCTCTTGATATATTTGTTCTAATGCACTTGATAATTATCTTATAAAAAAACAAAAAAAGAAATACAAAGTTTTCTTTCTTGCTAATGATAATAGACTTGAAATTTATTCTTACTCCTCACTTGTTATATTTTGATTATCATATTTACATATTTTTGTTTCTGAATTTCTTCAAAATGTAATAATTTACATACCTCAAGTAATATATCTCTAGGTGGTGGCGGTGGAGGAAATTCTGGTTCAGGAGGACACTCATTTATGTCTCCTGACTCATCATTACTATCAAAAGATCCAATAGTATTATATGATGATACATCTGAAAATGGCGAGGCACAGTGATCCCAAATAACTTCATTATTTGTAGAATGAAAATATGTTGTAGTGGTATGTACATCATTCCATTCATTATTCATTGCTTGATCAATTCTTGAATTCAAGTCTTTTTCTTGAAAATCACTAAAAAACAAGTAGCAAGATTATTGTATGGAGTAACATTTTATTTGAAAATTCAATCGTGCAATGTATACACTCACCTTACAGAATTTGTATTATATTTATTTTCTTGCTTAATGTGATGGTTACTTATAAGATCTGACTGAGATATTTGAAATTTATTTTTTGCAGTATTTGATGCAAAAACTGAATTTTGATGAAATTCTGTATTATTAATAGCATTTTCCTTTCCCAAGTTTTCAAAAGTTCTTCGTGGTGCTGGAACTGGTTTCTTCTGATATATTTCTTCCAATTTTAAATTCATAGCTAGTGTATTTACACTTGAAACATATTTTTCACATTTTTCCATTCCATTCATAGGAATATTTTCTAAATTATTTCCCACTGGCAGAGAATTAGTTTTTTTGATATCTGATAATGAGAAGTTAAAATTTTCTAATAATGGATCATCCATATCAAGAAGAGATTTATTTTCTGATTTTAAGTTTTGGAATGAATTAAAATTTCCTCCAAATATCTTGCAAATATCTTCATTTGATGATGAAGATTGCGTGGAAATAGGTGTATCAAAATCAATAAGAGCATTAGTATTATGACTCTGAGTTTCTAATGGATTTGGTGCTCGTTTTTTCATTGATCTCTGAGCTACTCTTGGTGGTCTGGAATTTTTAGTGTGATTCACTTGTAACGGTTGCTTTGTATTTTTCTGTTTTATACCATTATCATCTCCAAAAAAAATTGCTAGATCATCTTGTAATACATTAGATTGAAATATATCCTGAAAATAAATAATTTGCAATAACTTTAATTTGTTTTATTTTGATTACATCAGTGATGCCCAAATTATATAGCCCCTAAGCTAAATCTGGCTCATGACACATGCTAATCCAGCCACAAAAATATTTGACAATTATGAATAATAAAAATAGGCTTACTAATTAAACAGTTTGAGTACTACTGATGTATGTATTTATAAACTTTATGATTATTGTACATTTTCATCAAATACTAAAATAATACAAATATCTCTGAAACTGACATCTAAGTATTCATTAATTATTAGTTAACATGAAATATGAAATTTATTTCAAAACTGAATTATTGCTTTAAACTATTCATTGGAAAACTTGCATCTATTTTTTTATAAAATTGATTAATCAATTATTTTAGTTACATCTAGTGCACTATAAAACTTTTCTATTTTAAGACTAATAAATTAACACAAAAACTCAAACTGTCACTATTACACTGATATTCCTGTAGTTTACATTAACAACAAACAAACGTTTGAGGCTTTTTGTTACTAATTCATCTTATAATTCAACAATTTGACAATACTAAAATACTGAATTCTGAAAAAATGATACCGCAGTTGATAAGTGTATTTTTTTTTCTAAAATAAAAAAAATTACTTAAAATAGGAAGTTGCTTTTTCTGTTATAGATTTGAGTTTCTTATATATTAATGCTTTCATTAGAAATTAAGTAAATTTATAAATATGGCTTTAAAATTTTTATCCTTTATTTATAGTGTATTACAGTAGACAGTTGTTTATCTGAATCAATTGGGGACTGGGGTTGTTTGGATAACTTATTTTTCGGATAACCGATTATGTACGAAAAATATATTAAACTATCCCATGTTGAAATTTCTCTCCATTACATGTCACTTTGCATTGAATTTTCGTCTATGTTAAGCCTAACAAAAATTTTTATAATAATAATTGTGGCTATTGTATCATTAAAAATCATTTCTTTATTTTGTACAAACAAAATAAATATATTGAAAAATATAAAAACAAAAAAATTATACTTTAGAAGTTAATCTAGTATCAAAAACGTTTGATTCAGCATGACACATGTCTGGACACACAGTCCTCAGAAAAACACCACATAAAAGTGCCAGTGCTGCCAGCTAAAACACACACACCAACAAAAGAAATATTGGAGTAGCCCAAGACATAGCCTAAATTTGCAGTGCCGCAGCACTAGCAAAAATTTATATTTGCCGACTGGAACGCTTTCGGTTAACCGATGTTTTGGTTGACCACATTTCGGATAAACGACGCTGGAATGTATTAATATTTATATTTCAATACTAAAGTGTAATTAGCAATATATAAGCAAAATAATTATTTTATGTAAAAAATATGAAAAGCTTTAATGGGATTAAAATAATCAATTATAATGTATTAGGTTTCAGTGAAAATACATTGTTGTTACATAAAACAAGATTCTTTTTCATATTTCAAACTATTAACTAATTATAAGTAAACCATTAGTTATTCATAAAATATTTACCTGTAATTTATTTACATTGCCTCCTCCATTTCCATTCTTATTAATTTTTGGTGGAGCTGAGAAATTTCAAATTAATTATATTTTTTATATTTCAATACGAAAATAATTATTGTTTAAATATTCACCTGGTCTTGGTGGTGGTAATTTCTTTTTCTTCAACTGTTGACCATCCAATTTTGGACGAATGATTGTTGGTTTTGCAGACACACCATTGAAAAAGGTAGTTTTCTAAAAAAAAAAAAATTTACAAAAAATAAACACAGTTAACAAAATAAGCAGATTGTTTTGTCAAACTTTTACTTAAAAACAAGATTTAAATAATCTTATCTAAATTATATTAATAATTTGTATTTACATATTATAAATCATTTCAAATGAACCGTAAACAGTTTTCCAAAACTTTATTGTTGTATAAGATTATTAAAGTAAAACTTTAAATGATATACAAACGAATTAGGAACAGAAGTAAATAAAGCAAGTATATCAGAAGTTAAAAGAGACACACAATATTTTTATATCAAAAGGAAATAGATATGTTATCAAACTGTGTAACACAAAGTAAATATAATGAGCAGTTAAAAAGATAGAGATTATTACAACAATACAGTAATCATCTACAATTAAAGACAGCAAATGTTCAATAAAAAGAAATTCTTGTATCAGAGATTATAATATAGCATTATTAATAATTTTTCTTATTCTTATCACTATCAATATTGTCAAAGATAATTTTCTCATTTTATGTTTATTAAAGTTTTAGATTTAAAGAAAATATTTTAATCAAGTGAAATTTATATAGAATAGGTTAGTTAGTTTTTCTACTACCAATATTTTATGTAAATAGGCAAATAATTTATTGAACTTATCACTTTTTATTATTGAAAATTTTACATATTGGATTTCTTTCTACAGAAAAAAAAAATCAATTATGTATGCATGCATACATGAAAGTCCTAGAAAAATTTGTGCAGCAGTCCTCTAATGCTTAAAATGGCACTGAGGATGAATGCAGTGGAAAAATGTGAACATTGAATCCAGTGCTGATTCAGAAAAGCCATAACAAAGTGAAGAGATTTCTAACTGACATACTATCCAATTTACTTAATATTACTTAAACAAATAACAGAATTGATTCTGTTGACATAAATTTGTCTCAAGTTTCCTATTTAAAAAAAAAAACTATAGTGAGCACATAGATATGCATCTTAGACTTGAGTAAATATGGTTTTTTTTTTTTTTTTATAAGTATTAAATATTCTCTTCCATTAATATGCTTAGACTATGGTCAGGTTTGTTTATAAACATTAGCTGATCATCTTGTTTTGGTAAGTTAAAATAGTTATCATTCATTTTATTTATATATTCTTATCTTATTAATAAGATAAAATTACAATTGTTCTATAGAAATTATTGATATTAACTCAGTCATATCTAAAAACAATTCTTGTTTGATATGAAATATTTTCATTTCATATAAATCAAATGAATTTATATTTATGTATGATAATATTTCATATAATATTAATTTCGTATTTAGTTTGATACAAAATAACCAATTACAAATTCATATTTTCTATAAAAATGGATGAATATTTACCTTTTCATTACTAACATTTTTCTTGCTGTGAATCTTAGGTCTGAAATATAAATAGGATATATTTTAATGAAACAAATATAAATATTGTTAAATATTAAAGCACATATTATAAAATAAAAATATAAGAAAACATTTTATTAAAGTTCTTTACATTTTATAAATAAATTTTAATATATATATATTAATGACAATTAAATTAACAGTAGTGAAAACAAATTTGTTATTGTAATATTAAGAGATAGTACTCCAAAAGAAACTAAACCGAGGCAGAGTTGATGTTGGAGTTAAAATTTTTATTACAGAATTATGTTTTTCTTCTTCTTCACACAATTAGCTCTTATATTCCAATAGCTAACTCTAAAATATGATTAAGATCAGGTTAAAAATTCATCCAGACCTCCAAACTTCACACTGGAGATTGTTCTATAATCCTTGTTGGATGTGAATGACAACAATTATTTTATCATCATATGGTTTCTAACCTTCAAATTATGTGAAAGTGTGCCATCAATAAAGTGAGAATTGATAAACAAGTTATTCATTGGTAAAACTAGCAACAACCATTTCATTGAAAATTTATTCTTAGTTTTATTTTATACTTTTTCTAATTTGGTACTATTTATTTATTACCATACTGTAATAAATATTAATTATATATACAGTACAAATAAATTTATAATAAATATCAATATAAATTGATATTTAAGTATTTGTAGATATTTAATAAAATTAATATCTATAAAATTTATTATGTTTATTTTATTTATACATAATCTGAAGTATACTCATTACAAAATTAAAAATTTCTAAATCATTTACTTAGCGTTTGCAGGAAGCTGATTAGTTGGAGGAGGAAGTGGAGCAGGCCTTATTGGCTTGAGTGACATTCGTTCCCATCAACTAAGTTCTTTCTAATAAATAAATGTACAACATTAGTTTTATGAAGGAATTAAATTATAGTTTATTCTTCGATTAAAGATAAAATTAAACATACTAAAAATAACACTACTCTTTAGATGATTAATTTATTAACTTTTGATGCTATTATAATTTAACAAAAATTTTTGTAAATTTAAGTATAAAGTTAAATTATTTAACAGTAATCTTTCAAATTCCTAAATTTTTTCAATTATGTTTATCAGAAGTTATTTTCTATTATTACAAAATGATTAAAAACAGAGATAATTATCAAATTAACTAAAAATAAAAGTAAATTTTGGCAAAAATAATTATATTTACACAAAATCATCTACTAGAATTAACAATTTATCCAATTATTGAATTTAATTATTTAAATTATTTTAAAATTTACATAAAACTTATTAAGAACATTTAAACTAAGTAGAAAAAAAAAATATGAAATTAAATATGTAGTTGCTTCACAGGAATTTTCTTCTCACAAGCTGTATAAATATTAAGTTACATTTAAAGATAAATTATTCTTTATATCTCATTCTTCATATCAAAAACACAAGTGGCTGCTTTAATAAATTCACAAGTTGTAATGTCAATCAAATGTAATTGAATTCCAAAGAAAAATTTTACTAGTATGTAGTATTAATTTTTTTAATCTTGCAATTTTATGAACTTTTAAGATAAACATTATAATAGATTTAAAATTATAAATAAGACAGCTGTTACTGGTATGCCAAAAAAAGCATGCTAATTTCACACACTATTATATATTTATAACTTTGTATCTTAATACATAAAGAAATAGAAAATACAGAATTTTTTCAAATAAATTTTTTTAAGATTGACTTAATTAGATTTAGTATAACTAAACATGATAAAGGATGATAAAATATATTTCCAAATAATGCTGAAATAAGTCTTATTTATTGATTTTACTACATTAAGCGTTAATTATTGCAATCACTTGATACTAGCCTATATTGATAACAATAACTGAGTAATAAACTGTGCAGTGAAAGTAATTAACTATAAATTTGTGGAAATTCTAGTTTTATTAAATCAGATTATTTAAAAATATGTTAAAATGTTTAATAATAAATTTAATAGCTAGCTTAAAAAGTTTATTATAATTATTTGAATAGTTCATCCAACATGTTTTCATTAATGATATTGCCAGGAAATACTCATATTCATGTTTTTGAAACGCAATTCATCTTTAGTACTTGCAGTTTCTCACATCTGAATATTTTTGGAGAATTTCAACTATCTTCACCTTGATTTTCTTCAATTTTATCAGATTTCTCCAGAGCTTTCTTCAGTAACAATTTGGCATATTTCTGATATCATAGCAGATCTGATATCTTCTCCATTTCGACAGACAACTTAATTTTCAGATGTGTATGCTATTTTTTTTTAAAAAATCCACCCATTGAAAACTGTTTTAAAAAAATTCTCAATGATCTCAGACAGTTGATCTTGCAACATTATCAAAAAATTAATGCATGACATAGGAATAGCAATAGAAAGTCATATCAGTTTGACTGTCATCTACTTCTCCTAAAATTCTTGCATACATTTCACTTCCACAGCATACTTTTAAGTTAAATATGATTCCTTGGTCACAGATGAATTAGTGATGATGAATGTCTACTGTTTTTAATGACACACTATTAACACAAATTTGATGTATAATTGTCTACCAACAAAACAATCTTTCATTTCAAAGATGTCAGTTCTCATCCAGGCATTTGCACTTGAACAGTAATTCACTGGTAAATCTTTCATACCCATAAATCATCTTGTGATTGGAAAAAAAATCCTACAAGTGTTTTTTTTTTGTTTTTGCATATTAAGTCAGCAAATAACTGTTAAAACTTGTATGATGAGGCATTGCACAAAAAGTGCTGTTTCAGCTGAATTGTAGACATTCCTTGGTGAATATTTGGCAATTCTGTCTGTTTCTACAATTCATTTGATGCAAAATCAGAACTTATGAATGCATCTGTACTACACACATTATTCTATTATTCTCTCTTTCTCTGCAAATTGAACCAATCATTGATTGCGATAAAATGTTTCTATTCCATATTGCTGATGCTTAAGCTCTCTTCTTAGTTAATACTTTATGACAAATTAGTGGCCCATTAAAATGTGCATTTTTTCATAAGCATTACTAAACCAAAGCTTCAAAGCTAACTCAACTTCACTATCTTTCCCAGTTTAATCTCATTTGCATATTATATTTTCATTTTTTCATGTTGACATTTCAATATTTACTCTTTTTCAAAATCTGTGAATTGACTATGAAATTTTCAATTGTAGTAGTGTTGCAATGAATAGTATATTTGGCCTTAGGCCGAATACCAAATATTCGGCCAAACTATTCGGCTTGATTAACGCATGTACGAAAATTGGCACACAAACCGCATTATGGCAAGGACCCTGCTCTCTATTGGCTCACTGTCACTACGCTTCGCCAATCGCGTTAATTCTTGACAGTTCAGACAAGAACTTCATGGCAGTATGTAATAAGTGATGATATCAAATGAGGATAACAATGAAATGATACACATGTAAATAACGGAAGAACAGAGAAGGACCACGAAGTGAAAATGTGAAAATAAATATGAAATTAAGTTGATAACATAATCGAACAAGTCGATTATGTTATCAACTCAATAAGCTGCCTCGAACAAGTTGAGGCAGCTTATTGGCGCAAAATTCACAGCCGTGAATGCCAAACAATTGTTGTCATAGACTTCGGAAAGCTAAATGCTTGTAATGAAAGTCACTTAGCGTGCACGGGTGAAAGCCTGGGGTCATTTGGGCTACCAAGCTGTTTCGAATCTGTGAAATCATAACTGTGACTTATACCGACGTCCTATCTGTCTCTTTTCTCCGTTATCACCAGGCTACGAGTCACGTAATTGTAAAATGGGAAATCTACGATGGGTAAGTGACGAATCAAAAGTATCGTGAGGGCATATTATGATGTATGCATAGGCATATGTGGACTAGAGCAATAGAGGAAAGAGAAAGGGAAGAGCAAAGACAAGCACTTAAAAAGAAGGATAAGCAGGGTCAGACCCTCAGATGTGCAACGATTCTCGAACGAATAAGTGTGTAGTGTGCTGATCTTTGTAATTATAAATTGTGAATACAAGTGACTAATATTATTTTCTTTTTTATTTTGTGCATGTTACAAGTTATAAATAAATATAAACAAACAACACTAACTC